ACACACACACACACACACACACTCACACACTCACACACTCACTTTATCTGGTCTCATCTCATCTATGGCTAAGACTGCATCTGTTCGGATTGTTACTTACCTGAAGATTACTTACCTCCATGATCCAATCCTCGTCCTTGTATCTAGCCTCCAATCCTCTTCTCCTTTCAGTCTCCCGTGATCCTCCTACAAGACAACAGGAAAGTGTTCAATATCTCTCAGGGACTATCTAATAGTGTGTGTGTGGCAACTCACCATTCCTCTCACGACTCTGTATTTTCACCTTCTCTGCTGCCATATGTTTGATCCAAGTCATTTAATAAAGTGTTTCTGGATTGTTTGAAAACTTACCGGTCTGTACAGTGTGTGTTTCCCTGAAAGAAGACCAGACCGAAGACAGGAACTGGCAGCATGAGCACTTCACAACCCTATCCATTTCAGGAATTGGTGGATTTGTTTCTCTAGTCTTTTTCTCACCCAACCACTGCCACACCAGTCACTGCACTAAGCACTTCTTCACCACCTACCATTGTCGCCAGTCCCATGGCCAACCTGGTGCCCTACTCTGGTTCGGCGGAGGAGTGCAACGGATTTCTGCTACAATGTTCGCTGGCCCTCGAGATGCAGCCGCATTCTACATGGAGCCGCATTCCACCCTATTAACATGGAGTGTGCTGCAGAGGGCAGATACAATATGGCGGCAAAATGACCCTGTAGCCAGCTGGAGCTACTTTCACTGGTGATCAACTTTATCAATTGAAGCAAGAAAAAATGTCCATTAATGATTATGCCCTGAAGTTTCGTACCCTAGCAGCAGCAAGCGGCTGGAAGGAGAGCTCTCTTATCACCACTTACCTACAGGGATTGTAGCCTTAACTCCAGCTGCATCTCGCTGCATTCAATGATTCCATATGCCTCAAGAAATTTATCCAACTCTCTATTTGAGTAGCCCATTGTATGCAGGGTTGTGGAGAGATCTTCCAGGGTCAGCCTAAGATCTCCTCCGCCTCTTGTCAACCAGAGCCCACCAGCTCTCCAGAACCAGAACCCATGCAAGTGGAATCTACACGGTTATCCCTGACGGAAAGCAGGCGGCGGCTGACCCAGAGATTATGCCTCTATTGCGGTGCTGTTGGGCATGTTATTGTCGAATGCCCCATCCGACCTCATTGACCGTTGATGAGTGTTGTCCAAGCTACCTATGTTAGTTCATCGCGTCTTACTACCAAAGTGTTCATTACTGTCTCAAATATCTACTTTCCAGTCACCACACTTGTCAACTCTGGGTCAGCTGGGAACTTTTTCTTTGGTTCTCTCTGACACCAGTTCCACCTCCAGAAGACACCATGTGAGAGACATTACAAAGCCCAATCCATCATTGGAAAACCCCTGAACTGTGCAGACATCCGGTATAGAGTGGGTCCACTTCACTTACATGTTGGAATGCTCCACCAAGAGAAAATTCAGAATTCTACCTCTGGTGTCATCCTAGGGTAACCGTGGTTAATACAACATCATCGAGATCTCCCTTGGGAAACTGGTGAGATTAAGAAATGAAGCAAGCGATGTTTTCCTACATTACCCATTCCACTCAAGAAGGAACCGAGATCAGTAGTCGTCTACTCCGCCTTCGTCAAGACACCCATGAATCAACAATCTGTTGACATCCCTGACTGTTACTCCCAGTTCAAAGATGTCTTCTGTCCCAAGTGAGCTTCCCAGTTACCACCACACCGGCCATGGGACTGTGCTGTTGATCTCCTTCCAGGTGAACCAGTACCCAGCGGCAAAATCTATACTTTAACACTACCTGAACTAGAAGCCATGGAATACATTCAGGAGGCTTTACAACAAGGATACATCAGACCATCTACTTCCACTGCTACTTCTTGCTTCTTCTTTGTGGCAAAAAAGGATGGAGGCTTGCGGCCCTATATAGATTATCATGCCCTCAACAAGATCACCGTCAAATTCAGGTATCCCCTTCCTCTCATCCCAGCTGCATTGGAACATCTAAGGGGAGCAAAGATCTTCACCAAATTGGACCTCCGCAGCGCGTACAACCTCATCCGGATACACGAGGGGGATAAATGGAAGATGGCCTTCTTGACCACTACTGGCCACTCTGAATATTGCATTATGCTGTATGTGCTGGTAAACGCCCCCTCCTTGTTTCAGGATTTTATGCACGAGATGCCTGGCTGAACATCGCCAGCACGTTGCAAAGGTTCTTCAGAGACTCCAGGAATTCAACCTGTTCCTCAAGGCTGAAAAGTGCCAGTTCCAACAATCAGAGTTCCAGTTCCTAGGGTACACTGTCAACCAAAATGGTATTTCAATGGACGAGAGGAAGGTGGAAGCTATTCGTAACTGCCCCACTCCCAAGACTGTCAAAGAGCTTCAAAGATTCCTTAGATTCGCCAATTTCTATTGTCGCTTCATCCAAAACTAGTTCCATTACCCATCCTCTCACGTCCCTACTCCATGGTAAGCCCAAGTCTCTATCCTGGCCCCAAGAAGCAGAGACTGCATTCAACACCCTGAAGCAAGTCTTTTGTAATGCACCACTCCTCACACATCCTGATCCAAACAAACCCTTCATCGTGGAAGTTTATGCTTCAACTACTGGAGTAGAAGCAGTGCTTTTTCAGCAGCAACGGAATCCTCCCAGACTCCATCCATGCGCTTTATTTTCCCAAAAATTCAACCCAGCAGAAAGGAACTACGACATTGGTAACCAAGAACTGCTAGCCATTAAGTTGGCCCTAGAAGAATGCAGGCACTGGCTTGAGACACTTGCCATCAATTCACAGTGTGGACTCACCATAAGAACCTCCAATACCTCAGTGATTCCAAATGACTTAACCCTCGTCAAGCTCGTTGGGCCTTATTCTTCACCAGACTTGATTTCAAGATTGCATACCGTCCTGGTTCCAAGAATGGCAAGGCTGATGCACTGTCTTGCATTTACTCCTCTGATGATTCTTCCAAACAACCTGAGCAGATCCTAGACCCGAAAGTATTCATAAACCCCATCTAGTGAACACCTCTGAGGAAAACCAAGCCAGTGCCTCCAAGAGTCCACCACCAGGTTGTCCTCCTGACCGGCAATATGTACCAAGAACTCAACGAACCAAACTCCTCCATACAGCTCATTCCTCTGTTAGTACTGGTCACCCAGGGGCCAATCAAACCCTCTCACTACTTCAAGATAGTTTCTGGTGGCCCAGCATGGCACAAGATGTGAGAAGTTTTGTGAGTGAATGTACAGACTGCGCCATTTCCAAAAGTCCCCATCATCTTCCATCAGGCAAAATCCTTCCTCTGCACGTTCTAAATCACCCTTGGTTGCATCTAGGGGTGGATTTCATCATGGATCTACCTCCTCCTCAATGTAATACCTGCATCTTTGTGATTGTGGACAGATTCTCCAAGTCATGCAGACTCATTCCTCTCAAAGGGCTACCCACAGCTATGGAAGCTGCCAAACTCCTTTTTAACCATGTTTACAGATACTTCAGTATACCCGAAGACATCATGTCCGACAGAGGCCCTCAATTTATGTCCAGAGTGTGGAGAGCATTCATGAAACTCCTAAATATGACAGTCAGTCTGTCTTCAGGATACCACCCTCAATTGAACGGGCAGACAGACCGGAAGGTACAGGAAATTGGACGCTTCCTCCGAACCTTCTGCCATAACCACCAGAACTCCTGGAGCCAGTATCTCTCCTGGGCCTAGTCCACACAGAATTTTCTGTGCCAGCAAACCACAGATTTTACCCCATTCCAGTGCATACTCGGACATAAACCACCAATGTTCCCATGGTCTGGGGAACCTTCTGATGTATAATCGGTGAATCACTGGTTCCGGGAGAGTGAGAGGGTCTGGGACTCATCAACTACAAGGAGCCATCTGGAGGCAAAAGGACCTTGTCGACGTCCATAGATCCACAGCTCCCAACTATCAACCTGGACAAAAGGTATGGATTTCAACCAGGACTATTAGGTTGTGCCTACCATGCAAGAAGCTGTGTCCCAGGTACACTGGCCCCTTTGAGATCATCAAGGAGATCATCTTATTATCCTTCCAGTTAAAACTCCCTGATCACTACCGCATTCACCCAGTATTCTATGTTTCACAACTCAAACCCTATCACTCACCAGTATCCTTTTCCTCCACAGAGCCTGGTGATGGTGATGTACCTCCCTTACCGCCAGTCGAAGAGGATGGAGCAGTCTTCACGGTATAAAAATATTTTAGACTTCCGGTGCCGAGGTGGTGTACCGGAATATCTGGTAGACTGAGAGGGCTATGGTCCAGAAGAACACTCATGGGTCCCAAGAAGGGACATACTGGACCCTGATCTACTCGCCACTTTCCACAATGCTCATCCGGAGAAACCTGCACCTCGCAACAGAGGTCATCCACCTCGACGCCGGGGTAATCTGCCCTCAGAAGCGGTCTGTGGAGAGGGGGGTACTGTCACGGAATCACCAGGCTCCACCCTCACACAGTATCAGCGCTCACAATCTTCCGCTTACTAATTATTACCAGCTGTCACCGATCACTCCAGCGCCATACAAAAGGACTTTCCACACACACACACACACACACACACACTTTGTCTGGTTTTGTCTATGGCTAAGACTGCATCCGTTCGGATTGTTACTTACTTGAAGATTACTTACCTACGTTATTCTATCCTCGTCCTGGTATCCAGTCTCCAACTCCTCTTCTCCTTTCAGTCTCCTGGTGATCCTCCTACAAGACAACAGGAAAGTGTTCAGTATCTCTCAATGAGATACTAATAGTGTGTGTGTGGCAACTCACCATTCCTCTCACAAATTTCACCTGCTCTGCTGCCATATGTTTGATTCTGGATTGTTTGAAAACTTACCGGTCTGTCCAGTGTGTGTTTCCCTGACACATGTATAAACAGGACCTTTTGAAAAATACCGGGAAATTAGTTCTAGAAATTCCTGAATGAAAAGTTGTAATTTTACTAGTAAAATTACCGTTCTCTCAGTAATTATGAAATTACTCTGCACTGTTTACAGTAAAGTAGTTTTGTTCCACTGCGCTGCTTTTTAATTGTTTTTCTATGTAAACAAGCACTAGATGGACATCTTTGACCACTGCACCACAAAATCATCACCATCAAAAAATACTGTCAAATAGTGAAATTGAAGTATTTCTCCTCATTCAGGCAGGCTAAATGGCTCAGCATTTAAAAACAATTTCTGATGATTTACATTACGTTTACATTTATCTGTATTTTGGTGCAGATGTGTGAATGATATCTTATGTTAAGCTTTTGCTTGTGTGAAAGCAGCGAATGTTTAATACTGTGTTTCTAGAGCCACTAACATACTAGCTTTACTATCTATAACATACTCACTCTCTGCTGTGCCATTGCAGTATCTGCCATTTATTGGTGGCAGTTGCTCTGAGCAGTGTTTCCTCCTTGTGTGTGGAATTACAGGAAGAGCAAAAGGGGAGAAAGTGTGCACTAGTGAAGGCTGTAAACTAGGGAAATATAAGCCACGCACTAAAGAATGCAGGGGGTCACAGAAGAAAAAAGAGAGAGTGTTATGGTCCCATTTAAGGCATGTGAATACATACAACACAACGGAAGACTCTGTGGCAAGCTGGCACCTTTACAAAAGACTGTCAGTCAATACCACCACTGTGTTTGTTCCTTTCCATATACATCCTTGGAGTTCAACGATTGGCTGTGGTTTTAAACAAACAACTACATTTAGAAAACTCTGTGTTCTCCAAAAAAAAGCAGGACTATCATGCAACATCATTAATTTAAAGGAATAGTCTCAGTTTAATACCAAGAATAAAAGTCAAAATAGCTGATAAAAACATCACAATAATACACAAGTAATCCACATGACTCCATTCCATCAACTGACATCTTGTGAAGTCAAAAGCTGCATGTTTGTAAGAAACAAATCCATCAAGATGTTTTTACTTTCGCTTCTGATAAAATTCCCATAATCCATAATAACACCTCCAGTGAAAAAGTCCATCCCCTGTTGTTGGAGTTGTGTGGATTACTTGTGGATTATTGTGATGTTTTTATCAGCTGTTTGGACTCTCATTCTGACAGCACCCATTCACTGCAGAGGATGCATTGGTGAGCAAGTGATGTAATGCTACATTTCTCCAAATCTGTTCAGATGAAAAAACAAACTCATCTACATCTTGGAAGACCTGAGGGTGAGTACATTTTCAGCAATTTTTTGGTGAGCTATTGCTTTGAGAAACTAGAACCTGTGCTAGAATGACTGAAGCCATCACAGTAAAGAATGTCAAATGAGCAAAGTTTAATCAGTAGCTTTGATTCAGCTACTGAATAAGACAACTGTTTATACTTTTGGTCGAACAGTGAATTAAAGGGTTTCAAACTCACTCAACGTTCATTGATTGTGCCTTTCTCATGCCTTCCTTTGTACACTGTCGCCTTATATTTTCTGTAGCTCAACTGAGAACCAATTTCATTACTGTGTGCTTTTCAAAAGCCTAATGTCTGCAAGCAGAAAACACAAAACCTCATACACTTGAAGAAGAAAGCAGGGTGTGTGATGATGTTGAATTAGTACCAGAGAACGTCCTGAGTGGAGGGTGACCCACATGCCTGGATTACAGCACGACGCAGCTGCAAAGCCTGGATTGAGGGCCCAGTCAAGCACAGCCTTGTGGTTTATGTAAAGGAATTAAAACACAAGGCTGTATCAAAGCGTTGCTGCCACTGCGGCCACATTCATCACTAAAATATGTATAAAGATCATACGCCCTGCAATGTCTTTGATCATTTGATATGTTTATTTGCTCATGACGGGAGGAAACACACGTTAGCGGTCATGCTAATTGACGCTCGGAGGGATTACACATCTACGTGTATGTAGTACCACAGTGAATTCGTCTGCTAATGAAGCCATTAATATAATCTCATTATTTAGTAGGCATACGTGCAAATCTTTCTTTGGTGTATAGTGCAGAACTAGGCTACATTGTCTGATAATATCATCCCCTGGCAGCCAAGATATATCTGATTTTGCATTGTCATAACATTGTCCTTGTAATATTTAATAGTGTGCACTACATGTAAATAGATATCATTTATGAATAATTGAAATTATATTTCATCCTTATTGGCTGTGGATCTTTTTTACACTCTAAAAACAAATATTTTTGCTCAACATTGGTGCAAACTATTGTATTATTTTTCAATCTTTTTGAGTTATGACAACTTCTGATGCAATTATTGTAAGTTGTAAATTGTAAGTTGTTCTAACAAATGTATGTATAATTGAATGGAGGCCCTTGAACCAACTAATCTTATCTATTTCAATTTAAATTAACAGCTAACACATCACAAGCTAACTTATCTTATTTGTTCATTAAATTTACATGCTAAATATTGTTGCTCATATGTAGCCTTTCACGACTTAAACGAAAGCACTACTTTTCAGCACAACGGTAACCACAAAAACTTCAACATAACAGAAACTCTTTTAAATGTCAAAAATTCAAACACATCAGCATTAAACACTTTCCATTCACTAAAAAACACATAAAATAACATTTTAGAATAAACATTTAATCTCCGCATCGAATTGTATGCAAAGCATGATGAAAACTAGAAATCTACTGCCCAGTTCTCAAAGCTATCAAGGCAATTTCATTAAGTTACTACAACTTTTATTTACTTAAAAGGTTTAATTAAATAAATAAATGCATGGTTGAAAGTTAAAATTCTAATTTAAGTTGTGGTAGGACTTCCGCTGAATGTGTAGATCATATTCCATACAAGTATGTCTTTCAAGGACAATTAAACTTATCCTTTAACTACATGTGAATGCTGTCATGATACACACACACCCTGTTCACACTGCAGAGCTCGTTTAATAGTTCTGACTAATCAGTTAGGTTAATCATTATGTAGTTATTTTGACCGGCTGTGACACAACCAACCTGTTTTCCCACAGAAGCAAGCTCACCTTTCATTGGACAGTCCCCTGGTCTCACAAGCCCCACCGCAATTCCATTCTCCTTATGGAACTGGTTGCCATGGTGATGATCGTTGATGGTCATTCCAGAAAGGGAGGTTGCCATGGTATCGCTAGAGTTGTAGTGAGCCGTGTGGCTATTGGGCGAGGAACTCAATAAATCGTGCTGCTGGTCCATAGCAAGTCCAAATGAGGATACTGGAGGGGGAAGCGAGGATGGAGGGTAAAGATAAGAGAGAAAAGAGTAATAAGGGTATAAAAAGAAAGAAAGAAGGGAAAATAAAAGGAATAAGTTAGTGGATGCACAAGAGAAAAGCTGTTCAAAATGCTTTTGCCTGGCACTGATTGTTTTGCTCTGATTCCTTGTGGCAAAAATGGCTTTTCAGTGCTGACAGAAGAAAAAACTGTTATTTCCAGGGAAAAAAATTCTGGTTGAAAACCTCAGAAACAACTGTCAGGCCAACCATATGACTTGAGTGAGTGAGTCAACAGCAGAGGTGTCCACCAACTTTTCAAAAGACAGCGTGGGTTGAATCAATATCCAATTGTCAGGACCTGTCTCTTCCAAAGGCTTCACACAGGGCTGTCACAAGCTCAACGTAAACAGAGCCAGCGTGCCGGTGTGAACCTGCATATTTATACTGCCAAACATGCCGGTCTAGCTTAAGGTTACTGCTATGTGGCCTAAAATAGTGCAGACAAACCAACGTGTTTCTATGCACCTCCTGTAAGCCTTTCTGTAGCCACTTTATTTAAACCATTGCATCGCACAACGTAACAGTGCACTTGCAAAACTGCTTTGGTATGTTCTTATTCTAATTGTCAAATCAGAGAAAACACCCCTTTTTTTCCACTGACTGCAATTGTTGTTTTTACATGGGACACTCCCGCTCCAGAGCTACGAAGTGTTAGAAATCCAAATATTTGCTAATGACTACATAGTTAGTAATACTATAATAATCACTAATGTTGAAAATCCATCCCATTAATGGTACTTAGTTATTAGGATATTTAGTCAGCTACCCAGCCCAAAGCAGATTATACATGTTGGATATTTCACAGCCATCCTGATGCATTATTCAACCTACATATACAAACACACACTCATTACACAGACAGCACCCAGCCCTGCAGACATCCCGACAGCTCATTCTGACATGTGTGCTTGTAGCACTTAGAAACAGTGTGCTTTTTCATTTTCTTTCTAGTACAATGGGAGTGTAATGATTTTCAACACACACATCAGTAAAGTTTTTCATGTTTTTAAAAGAAGTCTCTTATGCTTATCAAGTCTGCATTTATTTAAAGATTTAAAATGACGGTTTTCTATTTTAATATACTTTAAAATATAATTTATTCCTGTGATGCAAAGCTGAATTTTCATCAGCTATTACTCCAGTCTTCTGTGTTACATGATCCTTCAGAAATCATTCTAATATGCTGATTTCTTATTAATGTTGGAAACAGTTGTGCTGCTTAATTTTTATTTTTTGGAACCTGTGATATTTTTCAAGATTCTTTGATGGATAAAAAGTTAAAAAGAACAGCATTTATTTAAAACAGAAATCTTTTGTAACAATGTAAGTCTTTATTATCACTTGTTTTTGATTAATTTAACATATCCTTGCTGAATAAAAGTATTAATTTCTTTCCAAAAAAAAAAAAGAAAAATTTAAAACAATTTACTGACCCCAAACTAGAACGGTATTGTTACAAAAGCTTTTTATTTATTGCTTGTGTATCTACCTACCCATCCATCCATCTCTCTCTATATATATATATATAGTTACATGAAATTAACATGAAATAAAACTGTGTATTTCACAGCCCAGCCCTCCAGACATCAAGACAACTATAAACAGCTTTTTTTTCTCTCTCTAAGATTTACACCCATTCAGAATTGTTAGGGTGATGAATCAAGGTAAAGCAACTAAAGAGCTTTTCACATTACTAACCCTTATTAAACTATAATATAATATAACCTGAGATTTTGAACAACATGATAAGGTTGAGTAAATGATGACAGAACTGTCATTTTTGGGTGAACTATCTATGTACAGTCACAGAAAGTTTCATGCATTATTTAGTTTCATCATCTGAGGTTTAAAAGTGTCAAACATTGATGGCAAACATTGATTGGCGTAGCAGCATATTATAGTAGATACATGATTCAGAGAGGGAAGAAATAAGCCTAAAGGCCCGTTCACAACAGGAATGATAACTATAAAGAAACTACAAAGATACCATCTGTTTACTCTAAGCACACGCTCGTCTACCACTTTCAATTCTCAAGCTCCTGATAGCAGGATTGATTCTGATTGGGTGTCAATGTTTTTATCATTCATCAGCTGGAAAAAATTCATCCTGAATGTGATTCCAGTGATATAGTTTCTCTGTACATTTATCGTTATAGCTGTGGAATGGAATCTTGATATTGAAAACGATTTTTAGAACTAGATCTTTATTGTTATCTTTATAGTTATCGTCCTTGGTGTGAACAGGCCTTAAGAATGCTGTAGAGCATTAACAGCATTGTCACTGTGACTATACAAAACACAGTTGTTGATGTATTCCATTAGCATTTATTGAATACCTTCCCTGTTATATCAACAAATTCCTCTTCTCTTTCATCTTCTTATGGGTTTCCCTGCTCTGCTTACTCTACTAAAATCCACAGCCAAGAAAAAAAAAATCCTGTCTGGATTCTCCAAGTCATTGCATTGGACAGTGGGAAAAATCTCACCTGCTTTATGTGCATCTCATATGGCACACAAGCTGTCTGGAACACAGTGTTTGCACAAGGATTCAGGATCTTTGCTCTCTTACCTTTACTCAAAGTTTTTTGTACACAGGGAATGTAATGACTGTTCAACATGTGTTACTGTTTACCTAATATACAGTATATCTTCAAATAGAGCAAATAAATTCTAGGGTATAACAAAAAAGACTATTATAGTGGGATCCAAAATACTTCTGCATTTTTCTAATTTATTCTAGAATGGAATTTTTTCCTTTTTTTTTTTTTTTACAATTTACATTATGATCATCACAATTGTAGTGAAAAATTAAATTGACATGATTTACATTTCAGAACATCTTAGCATTTGGTATGTCACCCCTTTGCTTTATTTACAGCAACAAATCACGATTTGTGATCATGTTATCCCATATAATTTGAGAATGGTCCAAAGAACAACTTGTTCTACAATGGAAGCAAGAACATCTGACCATCAGTCACATCGATCATGTGAACTCCTTTGTACAAATTTGCTCATTTGATTAGTGACCTAAATAGTGCAGAATCTCTTTATTATTTATGCCATAACTTTCCAAATGTACATTTTTAATCCCTGATGTTCAACATGACTTTTAGACCCCACTGTATATCCAATGAGTTTTGAGTTAAAAGACCTTTTAAACATGTCCTGACTCCACCTAGTATGGACCATAACACCACATGCCTCCAAGGGCATTTGAAGAGCACCATCTAACCAGGCACTAACATCTGTTGTATTTTGTGTGGCGGTGGTGCCGCATTTTGAGTGTTAAAGCATAAAAACTTGCACAGTTGGTGCTCTAAAGTATGTGGATGTCTGTGTGTGTGTTCAGTGAACAAGAATGATGAACTTGGCGTGGCTCATGGCCCTTCCGCAAAGCCACATAAACAGAGCTATTGCGAGGGTGTGTGCGGCTAGAGAAAGCACAAGATCAACATAGATGTTTGCACAGCACCTGGGATACTATGCAAAGACATATTCACCACAGTACACACATAAAGCCATCATATGTGTCGTTAACTGAACACAAGAATTCAAACTAATCTCTTTTTTTAAGGCGAGGTGAGGGTTAACATGGATAGTTGCCTGGATACAAGATCAGATCGCGGTTGTCTTTCCTTCTTTATTGCCTTTGAGTTTCTAACGGACAACATGTGGCAATAGTTAAGGTCTTCTTCATTTTAAAATGAAGCAATGGGTAATGGAATACTAACTTATTATTTCTGAATATTGCAGTTTACACTGTATACTGTGTACTATTTTTTTTAAATAGTAAATGAAACAAAATTCGTTAATCCACATTAAACATTTCAAAGAGTATTAGGCTGAATTGATGTGACATGACATGATCAAATTGCATGTGAATGGTGACCAGTTATCATTATAGAAATAAAAGGTGTTATTGTGTTATCTATTACATTTTATTTAATTCAGTTTTGTGTAGAGTGTCTTAATATTTCATCAGACTAATAAATGTTGAGTTAAAAATTATGTTGGCTGATAATAGTGTCAGGTGCATTGCATTGTGGGATACAGTTTACCACGCAATGTGCTCTGTTATATGCTGCTCATGGTGGCAGGCCATCTGTGCATTACATGCATTCAGAAATTTTGCATGCTGTGCAGAGTATACAGTACATAGTAGTATGTTAGTAAGTCATTCTGAATATATAGACCTGGTCTCACATAAAATCAAAAATATTTGCTTCTTTCTACTATACATGAAAAATATGCATGACGCTGCACTCTGAGTCATCTCAATAGTCTGGTTTGAACTTCAGCTTCTACTAATAGATGCAGATGAATGCTTCCTTGTAAACACACTTCCCCTTTCATTAAATGCTGTGAAACTGATAGACGTGGGAGCATTTGATTCTTCTCATGAAGCGTCAAGACGTCTCACGAAACAAAGCTCCCACTGTTACACTGACAGGATGTCAACAAACTTCTGGAATTTTTAAGCTGTTCTTGTCAGCATGTGTGGTACTTGTCGTTTTGCAGGACATTTAAAGGTGGGGTAAGCGATTTCTGGTAGCCAATGTTGACATTTGAAATCACCAAAACAAAATCTCTATCTTTCTGTCGCTCAGCTCAGCTAATGTCCATCCCCTGCACTGAACGCGCTCTCCTCCCCATCCTGAGTAGTTACGCCCCTTACTGCTGATTGGCTACAATTTTGTTTTGCTATTCGGCCCGAATCGGTTTTCTAAAGTGTTTTTGAAAAATCGCTTACCCCACCTTTAAACGGTGCTTCTAACACCAATCAATCTAGTCAACATCGAAAATAGTGATTCAATCTTTCAGTCTTGTATATTGCAAAGATATACATACAGGTGCATCTCAATAAATTAGAATGTCGTGGAAAAGTTCATTTATTTCAGTAATCATCACAATTAAAAGAACCAAAGACTTAAACTACTT